TGGTCTCCTAATAATCCCCATCTATGAATTGTCTTCATTACTCTGCTCTCCTTCCCACTAATAGCTTATTTGTGGTGAGTGTACCGGCGCACTCTGGCTGCACTTGCATCATCCAGGTGGGGCTGCACACTGGTGGTGGTGGAGGGGATCCCCATTACCTGTAAAGGGCTTTGAGTGGAGTGTCCAGAAAAGCCCTATATAAGTGCAAGCAATAATTATTATAACACTCCATTTTGGAAGCTTAGAATGACTCCTTGTTGAGCAGCCCTTACAACTTCATCTTTGTAGAAACCACTTAGTGGGGTGAAAAAATACTTAAGTAAACTTAAATGAAGAATATCTGAGCAATCTTAAATGATCTGCAACTGCAGAGAGCTTCTGGGTTTCACTGTTCAAAAAGCTGGTGAGGACATAATCATGGCGCAGAATTGTCTCATTTAAATATATATTCGTTGTTTAAGATTTGTCTGTTTGCAGTGATTTGACTTGTTAATCAATTATTCCTTCTGGAGCCACCATTAGGCTGTATCCCTTTGTCCAGCTGAAGGCCTTACCTTTTGAACCTGTAGAGGTTCTGAATTTTTTTTTTTGTTGGCAGGCAATTGCTTGAACATTTGTTTATGTGGTTTGTTCATTGAATGCATAAAGGCTTTGAGACCGACTCGAGGTCTCTTAAAGAAACCTCAAGGGAGCCAGGTTGCGCAATGCCTGGACAGATATCCATAAATGTCACTGCAAGGATATTTATGGCCAGCCAGAGGTTTAAAAATATTCAGCTGAAACTTCACAAAATGTCAGAGACAAACACGCATGGCCAAAACCATACCACACATCATTAAAATGTCATTCACTGCTAAAGAAGTGAAGGCTAGTGTGATACACATACACATACAGTGGTTGTGGTCTTTTTTAACAGAGAAGGAGCTGCAGGCAGGAACAGATTTGTAATGTGGTATTCAAAATTAAAATACCAAACTCAAACATTCAATAACAGAGTTTAAAGAAACCCAGTGGCAAAATCATAGGGCCTTTTCCTCCAGATAAAATATCTCCGTTTCATGTTCTCTTAATTGAACAAAACCACATTTTAAAATGTAAAAAAGAAATACAACAAGCAAAGAAAGCTTTAGGACAAGATGAAGTAACTGAAAGATGATACAGGCACTCTGTCTGCATAGTAACTTCAACAATGTTACTCCACACAATCTGTCAGATTTAGAAGTCCTTGTCTGCACTAATGTACAGGTTTATTTTTTATGGCAGTCATCTTCAGCAAGTAATTTAACCATGTTCCCTGGTGTAAAAAAAACACAAAACAATTTAATCGTTTTAACTAAGATGAATGCTTTCTTGACTTGAGATTCCAGAGACTGGGATACTAAACAGTTTAAACAATAGGTGAACTCAGAGGGGATTCACATTGGCAACCTATTCATGAGACACAGAAGAGGTACATTCATTTCCAGGCAATCTTTTCATAATATCCTTCCTTCAGCAGTCAATTGTTCTTAAGTGTTATTATACACTTTTTCACCTTTTTTGTGATACAAAAAACTCTGCATTAAGTGATTACATTCTCCACAGACTTACCAACCAGCTATTGCTTTATTATTTTTCATGCTAAGTAATGTATTCCAAAAAAAAATCAACTAAAAATGAATTCTAAATAATGAACACCTTGAGTCAAAAAGTAAAGAATCTCAAAGGAATATTCCTTGGGTCTAAGTGTTAATTACACAGCGATTTTGACAGATAAATGGCATTGGTATATCTAACAATATACGAACATTTATAAATGAGACAAGGGCATTGGGCCCATCTAGGTGGATTTAAAAAAAAATCAAGTAGATATCTAATTGATGCAGAGCCATTTATACACAATTCAATACAGACTTGTAAAAAGAGTGGTGAAAAAGGTTATCATTCAAGCCAGTTTGTTTTCTTTTTAACTGGAAAATGTGTATGTGTAACTATATACAGTATAATATAGTTCTGGACGAATCAGCATGATTAACACATAGAATGGAGCAGACTTCAAGATGAATGAATAAATGCATATAAACCAGAAGTTTAGAGACATCACCTACTGTATATATTTAAGATGGAAAACCTTCATTTAGAAAACCATTAAGAAAACCTTAGATATTTAAGCTGACACTTCATAATCATCTATACAATGTGAGGAAGTAATTAAAAGGGGTTTTCAGGGAATGTTTGGATACAGCAGATATAGTTAAAAGTGTATTTGCATGATGGGAAGGTACGCTAAAACCGTACAAAGCACTAGTAAGACCTCCTCTTAAATTATTGAGGACAACCCCAAATTACAAAAAATTCAAAACACTCCAGAGAGGAGTGGTCAGATATATTCCTGCTCTAAAAAAGAATGTTCTATCCTGACTGGCTCAATGCTACCCTGGAACCCCCAGCTGCAGTAGTTCTGCAAAGAAGAAAACTTCACCTTTCTCACAGATCTGCACATTACGTCTTATTTTAATGGCAGTGCTTTATTTGCTTGTCCACACAGAACGACGTGCCATTCAGCTGCCTTGAAAATGCTATTCTGTTTTTTGCTCTGTTCTGAGTTTTCTCCGCTTCAGAGCAAAAGCTCTGATATGATCTGGGTTCGGATATGTTGAAAAATGCTCCCTTGTGTATGTCATGAATCCCAAACTAACTTTAAGACTACGAAGCTCTTTAAAATAATAATAATAGGCCAGAGATTGGACAGGAACTCACACTTAAAAATGAGGAAAGCTGATAAACAAGTAGAGTGTAATCAAATACATTAAATTTAAGGGCAACTTGCAACTCCTGTGAGTGATGTTTTTCCTTGATTGTTTTGAACGGACTGTGCAAGTGGAAACAATACACCTAATCTTTTGGGAATGTCACTGCCACCTTATTTTGGGACATTCATATCTTGGAGAAACAAACGGCGATGAAAACCAGCTCAGTCCCCGCCTGACAGGAGTGTGGGGGCAGTTTCAACACCTTGCGCGGAGAGGTCAGCAGGTTAGTGAAAGACTGTGGAGAGGTGCACATCAGAGGCAGCTGTATACTGGTATGTGGGTGGTCAAGAATAGATCCATCTCCATTCCAGCCTACAGCCAACTCTTTGCTCCACCTAATGATTAGCTGTTGAAGCAATCTTCAGTTCTTGCATTAATTAAGCAGTTTAGGGTCAGTCCAGTAATTGATTCATCGCAAAGTTCAAAGTCCTAGACGAGGCACACAGTTGAACAGCCCAGGTTATCTACCCCGATCTAGGTATGAGTAGGTGACAATGGCATTAGTTCCCATCTCTGAACTACCAGTGACCCCATGCACATTTGTAATGTCTAAATTGAAAGCAGGAATGCAAAGTGCTATTCCTAATTGCTTTAGGGGTGGCGTTGTGTCTGTTATCCCCCGGGTAACCGAACAATCGCTCTCCTATTGCAGTTACATCCATTGCAAAACTGCATCGCAAAATGCCAAGTACAGGTTTTAAAATAACTCCCGGTGAACTGGCTGTCAGGGTCCACTTCAACAGTTTTCAACCATTTTCCCTTGTTGTTAAAAAGAGCCTGGTAAATCCTGTAGGATCATTCAAATGTTGAAAAATCTTAATTCAGAAGCCTTGCTTGTCGGATTAACTAAATGAACTTGCGCACAGTATGTAGTGGCTCTCTCACGCCTGCGCCCTGGGGCGCTGTACACACACACACACGGACACAGACACAGACAGAGCCGCTCTCGGAGTGAAAGTGAAAACGCCATCGCCGGAAAGATGTTGAACTCAGACCCCTGACGCCGAAGAAAATATGACCTAAAGCGTACCGTCGCAGGAGTGTTGAACTAATAACGCGGCGTCCAAATGAGCTAGGGGCCAGGCTGCATGTTACCACTGACATTGCGGCTGCTTCTGCTATTTCGTACATTGTGCTACTGTATATGTTCATTTGACAATAACCTCAATTAGGCCTACTATAATTACTGGCATTCAAACTGTAAATGAAAAATCCTTCATCATGTATTTATTGGACAGACATTGTACATGTCGATACCACAGGGCATTGTGTTATGTTCCTATGTTAAGTATCGGATGCTTGGATATACATTTGTTTCGTCACCATGGTCTTTTTCCGTAGCTAGCCTATCCAATGGGACATGCAATATCGGAACACTTAAACATTAGTCATTAACTTTTCCAATGGTAACTGATCGATCTCGGTTTTTTTTCCCCACTTTCGTTGAGTCGCCGTGAGTACAGCTGTCCATTCTCATTAACAGTGATTCGGAAGGTCATTATTACATAATAAAGTGGGCATAATCGTTTTATGATTGTACTCGGTGTTTAGCAAGCATTAACATTTAACTTTTTCCAGGACGTTTTAATACTATGGAAACGCTGTTAAACCCCTCTTCAGACCTACAGTATTTGTTTTGAGTGTTCACAGCGAGCATCCATGAATGCTAAACCACGAACCACAAAGTCGCACCGGCTCAGAAATGAATGACATACTATCCCCAAGGCACTACGGCGAATTTCATGAATCAGCTAGACTAGTGAAATGTCTGGAGCTTTTTAACTTTGAATAGGAGTGAGGTTTCACTACACTACCGTAGTATTGCGCAGAATCTTTCCGCAAAACTTAAATATAAAGAATATACAGTACAGCTTTTTGGCAAAACTTAAAAATCATCATTTAAAAAGACCTCCCCCATGCAAATATAAGTGCCATTAGATACTGTATGTGTTATTGGATGTGTCAGTTCATTCTAAACGTTGCCGATCACGATGCTTTCGAATGGAAGTTGTATTTCTAAGGATACATACTGTACCAAACCCCTCGGTCTCTGTATTAAATTCTCCAGGTGCTGTGGATAACGTTGCCTGAGTAGCAGGAAAACACCGGTCAGACCGTTAACCTCTGCTATCCGCGCAACGAATAAGCGAGCGCATTCGCCCCTCCTGTCCGCATAGGACACCCGAAACCACCGGTACACACACTCACCTGCAGAATCTGGGCGCAAAGCATTTTTCTGGGATTGTAACTGAGGTGGCACATGTGTCTAGCAGAAATGACAGAACTCTTGTCTTCACACAAAGAGATGTTTTGGGTGAAGTGATAGTCCTTCTTCCTTAGGCTGACCGGAGAAGATCAACGTTTCAGAGTCTGTGCTGGAATTACTGTTGTATTGAACTCACCAACACAGCGGTCATAGTGAGTCCCGCTAATTTCCGCATCTTTGTAATAATCATCGCATGGCTTTTTTTTCTTTTTCTGTGTTTATGCATTAATAGCTCCGTCTAAAAAACGTGTAGACTACAAAAGTATCCAGTTTAAAATGTCCGCGGCCGTGAAATATCCCCAGTCATGTTACTGTGCATATCGTGTACAGTATGTACCTGATTTTAATCCTAAGCATTGGAGTCAGTTTTCGTACAAGAAAAACAATCTCAAAATCCTTTTCTTGGTTTCAGAGTTCATTTGTGGAAAAATGGGACATAAAAAAAACAACTTTACATGATCATAGCAAAAGCTTCAGCGCAAGCAGTTTAATTTCTAGAGCGTTATACCGGAGTGTTTTACATTCAAAATAAGATTAATCGGTCTCGTCTCGAAATCCCAGCGAGGTGCTTGCTTATTGTAACTCCTCTTATCCTATCGCTGACCTACAGGCGCTTTATCTAATTCTCTGGATAATACGCGCTCCATAACTCGAGTTAATCTGTTTCGGTGAACCCAAATTCATCGGGTTTAATGAATCCAATATGATACCCAATCGTATTAGGTGTATCTGTTTGCTTTTTATTATTAGTCATGCTTTTATTAATATTGAATTCCTCCAATCAAAGCCTGTGTTGTTTGTGGATGGTAATCGGTCACACGCTACATGGATTCGTCCAAGCCTTCCAAAAAGCGCGCTGAAACGTTATGCTGCCTGTCCCTTGTTTATAGATTCACTGAAGGCTGCGACCTGTCCATCCGAGCCTCCGCTTCTTTCAGACTAAAGCAATGCCACAGTCGCCAAATTCTTAGCAGAGCAAGTGTCTGCACTCGGCAGTTCAGCCGGCAAGATTTCCGTGCCTGCTGGGACGTTATCTGCTCTGCCGCCCAACTCCTGTGCAGTTTGTCGCTGACGCTCGGAACAGTCCGGATGCTCCGAGCTGCCGGGGATCCTTCACAGAATAGCTCCTAACTCCGGCACGTCCGGAGACAGCATCGCCCGGCGAGTCCTCCAGGGGGGCCACGCTTGCGCTGCTGCCTCGGGGCTGAGGGTATCAGCGGGGGCGCCCGGCGTCCTGGCTGGGAATCCGGTGACCGGGGCGACTCCTGCCGCAGCCTGCGGTCATTTGCCCCGCCGTACGACTTCAGGGCTCCCGCAGAGTGAGAGCGCTTCTCCAGACCCCCTGCACCACTATCACTGTCGAACTGCGCCCTTAAACCAATTTATGTTCTTCATCTTAATGTCTGTCTTTTAAACTCTGAAGGATGTCCCTGTCGCGATCTACAAGGGTTTTGATGTTTACAGTACAGTTCGCTTTGGGTACAGTATTAACCAGTTCCCGATTGCTGGTGTCACCCGGCGTTTCAGTCGGTTGCAGATATCACTCCCGGTCCATGTTTCTGTGTCTGTAGTAGAGGTCTGGTTTCTTAACTAGTTTTATCCCGTCCTCCTGCCAATACGGGAGCTTACTGCGCACTGAGAGCAGTCGAGCTGTGCAGCGCGTATAAGACCACTCCTATCTTTATTCTGGGGCAAGCTACAGTATATGTTACCATGGGGATCTCCTACCTATTTCGGTGCCGGCAAACCTGACAGGAGCTCAGGAATTGCTGTTACCGTGTTGTTTTACTTTTATCTGAATAAACGGATAAGAATAAACACATTGACTATTTGCAAATATAAATCAGACGCTGATTTCAAACCGGTGTTTCGTTTCTCACCTATCAATAACCCTCCGGCCCTTGTCGGTTTAACGAGATGTACCAGAATTTGAAGTCCGTAAGCGATTAACCAACATTCAACATGTTCGTTTCACGATTCCTCGCTGCGCAGAACTGCATCATGTTGAGGCAGTCGTGTCGGAATTTACGGCAACACGCAGCGGGATGTAATTTTCCTACCTTCGCCACAAACTATGAAATTAGGCTCCGGGAAATTGTCACAGCACAAAGAAACGCGGTGTCGATGTCTTTCCTTTTATTTCCAAACTCCGTTTGGCCGATGCTGGCCGATTTTATTTATAATGTAAATGTACAATATAGTGTATACAAGCATTCTTCATATACTAGGAGCGTCGAAGGCGTCGGAGCAGTAGGTCTTCTTGGTGTCGGGGAACGCCACCTATGAGCCTATGAGACCGATGTCAGGGCTGTGAAGAGTAAAGATTTCTCCAAGCCCATAGTTTCTCATTTCACCTCTGACGGCCCTGATCACATTGATCTCTCCATCTGAGTTCTCAATGAAGGGTTTCTCAACTCCCGCCGCAGAAAGACATCAGAAACAAAAATTATCCTGAAACCTGGTTCACACCTTCTCTCAACGTCAGACTTGTTTTCGTGCAATCTTCTCTATTCACATGCAGATTTCGACTTTACCCCCTCTCTTCACCTCCTCCCCTCTCCCAACTTTTGTTCTCCTGTGTTATTTCATCTTTGCTGCCTGCCCTGTCTTCCTCACACCCGAAGAAGGCTCCACAGCCGAAACGTCTCTTTTCAGCATGGAATTAAACCTATGAGTTGTTCTTCATGTACTTCACCTTGAAAACGGAATCTAATAGCGACTTTTTTTTTAAAAAAAGACCGTTCAGAGGCTTTAGGAGAGCGAATCGGTTAAAAGAACATGCGGACGCTTGTGGCATGTTCTCCGCCGGCTCGTATCTCATCTGAAGCTGTCGTACAGCAAAAAAGGCATTCAGTCAGAAAGCAGCTCCTATGACATTCCATTAATTATCCCCCTTCAATTCGAGGGTTATGGATTTTCGATCCCATCTCTTTCAGAAAGTTCTCTGCTCATCATCAACATCATTTTTCAAATCGTCTTGTGTTTCAGGAGACACGCTGTACGTCTTCCACCTGACGGAATATTGGTTGAATGGACATTTTTTGCGTGGTCTTGAAAACATTTCTGAAGTGCACGTTATCATTAACTGATTACAATTCATTACATTAATTGCTTACTTCGAATACAATAATATTTGTAAATTTACCGATTAACCCACCGGTTGCGTTTGAGCTCAATTATAGTCATTTATTTAAATAATTAGATAACTAATACCAATATAATAGATTTGTAATAGTTGTTTTTTTTTAAATTACGTTTACCAACACCGGTTTTGGGGTTAGCCTATTTTCCTGGGGTGGGTTATCAAAGCCGAACTATGCTGTACTGTTCTCTTCGCTTTCCGTTTACACGAAACATCAAATTTCACGCTAAACGGAGAAAAGTACAATCGGAGTCTCTTCGGCATGATCATAGGAGCACATTAAACCAAACGGGCTGAGAGAAAATTGCAAAACGAAAGAGTTTGTTTTCCCCGGAGGAGACTGTGGTTGAAATTCTGGAATAACCTGATGTCTGTAAGAAGGCGGACGCCTCTATATCTTTTAAGTTCTTGTATGGAGCCGACTACCTGCAAATTGCTTCGTGTGTGTAAGATGGTGTGGATTGGAAAGCAAGCTATATACTACCCAGATGATATAGAGTTCTGCCAAACTGTTTCACCCCGAAAAGCCATTTAGTATTCTCTTGCGGTTCCCGTGAGGCATGCTGATATAAATTATGTTGCTATCGTGCTACTTTAGAAAATGAAGGAAATCGCTGATGCCTACCTGCAGTGCCTTTTGCTCAAACAAATGCTTTGATAGTTGTTTACTCTTAAAGCGTCTCATTATCGGCTACTCTGCGCTGAAGAGCAATAATGATAGAAATCGCACAAGGCTGTTCCCAGGTGTGAACACCTCTGCACTTTGTGCTGCGTTAGCACGATACCTAATTAGACTACGGTGGTGGCGAATTTAGGAAATGTGCTGCATTATTTGCTCTAAATAAACCACGAGTGTTTCAAGGGTAAAAGAAAAAATGATCAGAAATCTTCTGTTGTTCTACAGTATGTGTTTTTTTTCCCTTTTTAAAAAAATAATAAATCTGAGTACCAGGCAAGCTCGGGTCCTGGCGTTTGTTTAAAACAGTTCCAGGCTATATTAGATGACAGTTTTTTTTCCATTAGATGACAACGTCATGGGATGCGCCTTCTCCTTAAACCATACTGGGCAAACATCCTGATATGGAAACCCTGCTTTGTTTGCACTGTGACTGGCCTCCAGTCATTGTGTCCTTTGGTGTCTATATCTAATGCTACAACCCCAGGGTACCTGCCTGCTTAGCACATCCAGGACTAGCACCCTGAAGAGCTGGAGAACCTACTGAATTGGTCCAATTAAGCCAATACAGAGTTTGTTTAGGCGCTTAAGTGCAAAGTTGGAACAAAACTGTGCATGTACACCAGCCCTCTGAGTTCTTAATTTTATAGCCCTGATTAGCTGTGAAAATAAACATGATCTTATCTTAGATCTGTAGGTCTAGTTAGGGACATCATTTTAGTAACTGATCAGCTAAGTATTCCAACTGCATCAGTCTGAAGGCATGGGACTCTTCAGGAACTGCAATGCTATAAAGTAATGACAAGAGTTTGCTTCAGTTTCCCAGTAACGCAGGGCTCTGTATATGAAGGAAGTTAAAGAATAGCTTCCAGGCCTTGCATACAGCCGGGCTGGTTTTATAGTTATGTACAGTACTTAAGCTTCTTGCAGATCAATTAAATAATGAATAATGTAGCACAACTCTTACTCCTCATGGCTGAGGGTGATCGTGGTGGTCCTGGAGGGCCCGTGTGTCTGCAGGTTTTTAATTGCAACTCGGCTCTTAATGAACCCAGTCAGCTCATCATTGGCTAAAGTGGACCACTCTGGTGCTGCTGCTGCTTTGAATAACCCTAAAACCTTACAGCCCCCCCAGGACAGGGATTGCTTTGCTTTAGAAGCTCAGCAGTTGGGTTCCTTCAGGATGAAAAGCATTATATTAATGGAAGGAAGTATCCTTAATATCTCAGCCCTGGTGCTGAAACAAACACGACTCTTGTTTCTGGTCCAGTTGAGCTCGTCATTATTAACCCCCTTATATGAAATAGAATTGCTTGAAAATAACTATTTAAACTGGGTTCTGTGCTCAGTCCTGCAAACATATTTTGCACGGATTCATTGAGCTCAGCCTCATTCAGTTGTTCCAGTGTTTAAAGCCTCCTGCTGTCTAACCACATCTTTAAGGTGTGAACCAACTGTTAAAAGTGACCAACGACAGGGACAAAGAGCTGAATAAGGACATCCAGAAATGAGTTTCTTCCAAAAACAGACCTTTTTTCTTGCAAATTCGTTTTCGGCTGTAAAACTGTAGATTCCAAGTTGGGTGCAATGATGGATAAGTAATGTGAAAACTTCAGCTTACTGAGGGGCGTCTGAGGACTCTGCTGGAAAACAGGCCAGCTGAAGCTGGGATCAGAAGGATGTGGTTTAGGGTGCTCTGTGGTAAACCATTGTTACTGGTTTGATGTCTTTTGATCTCTCACCACTTTTACCAACATTCCGATGGTTCCAGCATAAGAAACAAATCCTGGTTTGGTCCTAGCAGGTAAAGGACCTGCACATCACTCTCATGTCTCATGTCTCGTGTTTCATTTCAGTCACGGATTTTAGGAGTTGGGGCGGAAGAGGGTTGGGGGAAAAGTTATGGAAAGGACACATCAGCACTGCCATTTCTATGCAGAGCAGATCAAAGATTGAATAAAAAAGAGCTTAAGGGAGCTCAGGTGCAATGCTCTTGGCCCTCTATTGTGATGTCCAGAGAGAGAGAGAAAAGATTTGGCATACTGGCTGCTACAGACCCGTATTGTTGTGAAGTGCGATACTACATAGTCTCTGTCCATGAATCTAGGGGTCACCCATCCACAAGACCAGACAAGAAGTTTTATTGTGGTTTGTTGTCTTTTAACCTGTGAAATGAAAAAGCAGATAGGGGAAAAAAAACTTTGATTTGTGTTCCAGTCCAGCAACCATTTTACAAGGTAATTGGGGTTAGAAAAGCCCAGTGTATTACCCCCTGGAGAGCAGAGTGTCTGCAGATGTAGTAACCCAGATGTAGCCTAATAAGCCTATTAATATTTGATTATTTCAGGCGGTCTCAGTGGATAATGCCAAGGAATAAAGCAGATCCTTCAATATATCCCACCATTTATCATTTGAATGAATCTCTGAAGGAGATGAGCTGAAACCCAACATTCCAAACTGTTTAGAAAAAATGGTATAAGATGCAGCATCTTGATAATGCAGACAATTACAAGGTTGGTAATGGATACGTTTCGTAGAGATCCAAGCTTACAGACATAAACGGGGTTAAAAGGATAGTTCATTTCGGGAGAGATTCTTCACATAAATTAGCCATCCACCCTGCCAAGAGTCAGGCAGGCTGTTGGACTGCAGTGTACTGAAAGGCCTGGACAGAAGCCTGAGCTTGGCCGTAGAGGTCTACTAAAGGAGACTGATGAGATGTCAGCGTATCGGCAGTTACCGGCAATGGAAAGGTGTCGTCACGATGCACAGTACCAGTAGGCCTAAATTTGACACTCCTGTAACCCCACATTTCCAGCTGTCATGACAGTTCTGCTAAATATTGCCAGACAAAAGTCACTGATTCATTTATTATCCCTCACGTTCAAGGATGACAGTCTTCCACGAAGCTGAAGGTGATTGATGAGGCCGGTGCCAGATCTGCAGACTGTCTGGCAGCTTGAGGAGGTGTCATCTCAGAAGTCGTGGTCATGTATTGTGCAATACACTCATGGCAGCTCGCTTCAGGGCTCTGCTTCCTCCTGGGTTCTCGCTCTGACATCATTGAGTCGCAAAGTGCTGGTTTCCTATCCAGATATTCTTGCTTCATTGGGTTAGGACAAGAGCCATAATCTCCCAGGGGTGGATATTGATGCATTTCTTCAAGTTGCCTTTGACCAGGTCTTTGAAATGAAAGACTCTTCTGGCTCGCTCTAGTGTGATTGCCTTGGCTAAGCTGAGAGATGAGAGCCGTGAAGTGTTCTAAGTTTTTTTTTCCTATTTAACGATTTGCTCTGCCAGGGGGAAGAAGTTATTGTAAACCATATAGTTTGAAACAACACCTTGCATTTTCCAATTGTTTAAAGAAAAGTGCATACAATTTTTGTAATCGATGTCATACTTCAGCAATCAATCAATCAATCAATCATGTAGTGAGAGTCTATTGGATGATTCACCAGAATGTGGATTTCTTTCGCATATGCCACAACGGCGGCATTAATTTTGGGTCACATGTGTGTATTTTGAAATGCAGTGCATGAGAGCTCAACAGCTCAGCAGACTGGTGAAGAAACCCTGTTCAAATTGAAATTTGTATTTATTCTGCTCTAAGGGTATCTCTTCCCACACATCTATTAATTTGCAGAGCAGTATCTGCAACGATCTGATGAGGCTGCATTGCTTCTCAAACTTTAAAATGATCCACGCTGTCATGCAAGTAAAACATCAGTATCTTCGTTGTGCAAAAGCTTTCAGGAAGAAGCTGGCAGGTTTGGACCAACGGAATCGACTTCCAGCACACTGCCTGTAAGGAAAAGCAACGGTAACAGGTCTTTCAGTGTAAACTCTTCAAACATCCAGCATAATCGCAAATCACACGCCACATCCATAGCCTATAAAAG